TACCCGAGTTTTAGCAGCAAACAACTTTCTGTCACATTTTATTACTCTGTATCATTTTTACTAATACCTGTCTTATAGCTTCATGACTTTGAGTTCATATTATTTTCATGCTTCAATTAGAAAGAAGTAGATAGCCAGACTATCCAGGAAGGTAATGGAAAAGTCTTGTAGCGGGGCTTAGTGGTGAAATTTATAGTTAAATGAAACTTTCAAATATACTATAAAACTTCTCCTTCCTTTACGTAGTTTTACTTGAGGTCTCATAAGCAGTAATATGTAGAAATGCAAAACTTAATCAGCTAAAAAATATAGCAAATCCCACATATCACTTTATGCAATGCCAGGAGAGTAGAAATATATTTTCCTAACCAGAGGAAATTAACTAGGCAACAGTCCTATATCTATAATTTAAAGCAGTAAAATATGTATGGCAGAAACTAAAGCCACCTTAAAAGAATTCAGGGTAGCAGTGTATCACAAATTAATGAAATGGAGACATTTTTAGAGCATGCAGCACTGACGATATTAAAGGGGGGAGAATATTTCACCACATAGATCTGTCTGATAAATACTTATAAAATCAGGCTTTTTTCCCAGTTTAAAAGTGTAAGAGCTTGAATATTAGGGGGAAGTACACACAAAGTCATCAACATTTCTGATGAAATCTCAATGCCGCTCCACAGAGATTAGGAATATCTTACTCTGTCCCTGCATGTAAACCTCTAATGTTGCCAGAGGAAAACCTGAGTAAATCAAAAGGCAGGAATTATGGAGTCAGGTCTTATTTTATTTCACCTAAAACAGAGCTGAAAGAAACTTAAAATACTTTGTATTCCATGCTGTAGCCAAGCTGGGCACTATGGAATATTCAACTATCCCAGGTTTTTAAAATGCAATCAATTTGCTGCTGCCAAATGTAGTAGGTTTATATACATCTGGGAAACATGCACCTACGGTGCTGATGAATTTCTCCTGACATTGCACTGATTTCAGGAGAATGTTATTTTAAATCGGCAGTAGAGAGACTGGTAGAGAAGGATAAAGCCCTGAGGACAGCTGAATCAAAGAGAATTTCAAAAGATTTTTCCTGATGGTTCTTGGATAATATCACATGTTAGCTATTTTCAAAGCCAATAGTTTCCAACACACTTCCATTTATGGTATCAATAATTAAAAAATACTTCAATGGGAGATGAACTTACCTTACTGAGAAGAGAAATTGGAAAGCTGTATTATTATCGTAAACACAGGAGATGCAAAAAGCTTTGTCTCCATGGAAAAGCTATGGAAACAGGGATACTTATTTGCAGCTATTGAGTGGTTACCACAAAATGTGATGTGACTGTATGGGCATGTTCAAAGTGTTACTAGAACATAATCATGTAGAAATTAAGGGCAGATCCTCAGCTCCTTTGTGCAGTGAGGACAAATTAAACCACCTGAAGATTTGGTCCTAAAACCCAAAGTCAACTAGAAGTGCTAAGGAAAAGTTTTGGGTCAAATTCAGAGGTAAACCTAAGTTTAAAGAAAATTTAAATTACCAAAACTTAAATCTCATTATGTCCCACTCCCTGCCAGCATGTCCCTGCCAGCTACTAATGAATTTTTAACGTCTTTCCCCCACCCCACTGCGCACATCAGCTCTGACTCCGGCACCCCGAACCGTACAGCGCGTTACAGTCTAATTGTAACTCACATGTCAAGGGGCAAGAAGAAAGGAGTGTGGCGAGAGCATTGATTCCTCCAGCTACTCAGCAGTAAGGCAGAGCAGTGAACTCCCCTCCACGTTTTACATGGGTGTCAGTAACTTCAAAGGAATATATTTGAGCATGAGGGAGTCTGGCTCGCTCCCAGCATATGCATCATTTGTGGCTGGCTCTTTCTGGAGACCCACAGCAAAGCAAAGACTTCCTCCAGTTTGGGGCAGATTGGGGAGCTTTCTGTAGCTGTTTTCTTAGGGGCACTGGAACAGGTGAGCTCTGTATGTTGCATACAAAATGTGTAGCTGGAGCTGCCGCTCTCACCTGCTGCATTTCTTCCTTTTTCTTTTCTTTTTTTTGTTTTCCCCATTTTTCCCAGAGTGCCCTCAGTCCAGGTTACAGATTAATGATCTATACCTGTTCAGTTTAACATACAAATGTGCTTTGAAGTCAAGCGCCCGTTCCGCCAGGTTTTGCAGAGCCACGCGCCCATTGCTCGGTGTTTGGAAGCCGTCCGGAGTAAGGCAAGAGGCACCGGTGGGTCGCCCTCGCAGCGTGGGCTCTGCACAGCGCGGCCAGGGTGTGGAGTCAGGGCACGAGGGATGGCACCGCTTCCTACCCATCGGTGATTTTTGGGGAATCGTGCCACGGCCACGGGGAACAGCCTGACTGCCATGAGGTAAGGTTAAGGTTTCCATGATGCCACAAAATCTCTTTTGAATGTTTTGGCACTTGTGTCTCAACACCCCTTAATTGACACTAATGGCATTATTTTACCTTGCAATTAATCTCATTAACTGGCTGATCGATGGAAATTTTTTTAGTGGCACACAGAGAAGAGCTGTTATAATACCTGCGATGGATCACCAAGCGATTCTTGACTAAACGTACAAAAACCGGTTCGAGAATTTCACACACACACACAGAAGAAGATATTCATCACGACAGAAGTGCAAATCACAGAGGTCACCTTTGGTTTTGAAGTCCTTTATCTATTCTTACAATTAAGCAATGGGGCTTTGGTGGCTGATACAACTTGTGAGACGCGGAGGACTCTCATACTATAAATAACGCTGAGTGACCTCCTCCACAAATGAAGGCTGCCTGCCTGCGGCAAGGTGGGGAACAGGAACAAGTCCCAAAGGATTAACAGCTGCAACTAAATAGCCTAATTTGAATCAGTAAATTAAGGGATGACAGTGATTATGGCCGATCTCAGCCATCATAAACAATATCACGACTTTGTAAAAGCAGACTGTTGATGTCAGATCTTAGAGCTAGGACTCAAAGAATGAAGTATTTTAAAGCTGCAGTCTCCAAAGATAGATAAAAGCCTCAAGACTACGATTTATTTTATTTTATTTTTATATTTGTAGGGCCCAAACTAGACCCTTGAATCCACAGGTTGACATTTTCCAATCCTACTAGGAATTAAGTGCCTAACTTTTTCAGCCTCTTTGAAAAATCTCAGCTTTAGGCTCTCGCATAAGTTTGGCCTGATCCAGCATCAGGCTTCTTTTGAAAATGGCTTTACCGAAAGCAGATCTGTAGGTACTCAATTATATAATCATGGCACAAATATTTTTTTTTTTCCAGTGTAGCCAATTAGTGTAGATTTCTGGGTAAATAACAAAGGGTAAACCTTGAATTTCAGAAAAAAATGCATGTTATGGAAAGCTTCCCCCCCCCCCCTTTTAGTGCAGTATGTCTACCTGTGCAGTTATTGAAAGCTATTTTGAGCCTTCCAAGTAATTGCTGTGTTGATTTAGTAGATTGCTGTATTAAACTGAGAGATCTGAAGTGATAGCTACTTACTGTGATCACATCTATGCACAAACTCAACTTAGTCAACCCTTTCATTGTTCCAGTGAATACTGTATCTGAAATGATGAGGAAGGTATCAAATTCGTTTTACAGAAAAGTCTCTTATTAAGTTATTCTGGTCCCCAACCTTCTTCTTCTCTTATTAAAAAAAGTGTCTGTGGACTTTGTTGCCCTTATCCGAGATCGGAGTGTTTATTATGATTAAGACCTTCAGAGATCTTTTTCTTTTTCCTCTAGAAATAGGAAATGCTGAAGATACGAAAAATGAAAAATGTGCCATGTTTGTCCTTGAAGTTACAGTCAGAATAGTGACAATGGCTGTATCACACTGTATTGTTGCTTTTATCAGCAAGTGCCCTGAGCATACATTAACATAATTGCAAACTGCATGAAAAGTGAACATGCAAAAATGTGATGCAATTGCCAATAGCCTCAAACATCTGTCCCAACAAAGTGTTCCTCCTCCTTATTTTAATTCTTATTATTTTAACAAGGTTAGTGAAGGAGAAACCATGTCACAGATGATATCTACATTTAGAGTGTCAGAACAATTATTGATGCAAAATTGTTATCCAAGCAAATGTGTGTCACATTTTGTTCACTTCCCATAACACCTGTTCATTTTGCTAACACATTATTCCCACTTAAAGCCAAAACTCATTAGTCCCAGTTAAAGCCAACCTGAAAGCTCAATACATACATACATCTGAAAAATCGAAAAAGTCAAACAAAAGGTAGCACCATTCAAGCACGGTCTACATCTGAAGCCGGTGGGCAGCAAACTTCTGTAGCAGCTAATGGAAAGAAACCGAGCCAGAAAAATAGCAATAAATGAAAACTACGCAGCCTTAAGAACCGAGATCAAAGAGGAGCACTATTCAAACGACCTGAGTTTCAATCACGGTGCTGAGACCTTCAACGCTCACTATGCCAAAGAGCCCAACGCTTTCCCAATAGAACGCATATTGGGTTATTTCCTCAACAGGCAAATGACAAAAGCCAATATGATGCAGATCATTTAAAGCATTTTAATTTTACCTAAATATTTTCTGATCACCCTAAGCCTGGACCTCCTGTCTCCCACCATGCACACAGAGGGCCACCATCTCCTTGCTCCCCGAACTGCTCACATTTGCCACCAAGGAAAGTCAAACTTGCATTTCTGTGATACTTGAACACACATTGTGAATTCGAGGGCATCTGCCCTGCAGACATACCGCTAACTGTAACCCCAGGAGGCTTAAAGAAATATCAGCACTCAAATTCATAGAGTAAAGGTCTGAAGAGGCAGCTCTGTGAACGGATAACTGCCCGGGGCTTTGCCAAGCACAATATAGCTGTCACTTGTTATTACGTGAGAGATTTTCTGGGGAACAGTGTTTTTCATTTTGCATGTCAGAGACGGGGGAAAAAACACATTTAGACAACCATCTCTTTAAGAAAAGAGAAGAGAGCCATGCGGCAGAGCTCACTTACCAGGGCTGGTTATCGTCAGGAGGTCAAGCTGCCGTTTCTGCTGAAAAACAAATTATAAAAGGAATTGTTAAAAGGGGACTAATTTTAGTGGGTCAGCTTAGACCTGCAAAGTAAGTGTTCTGACATTTATAGCAGAATTAATTACAAGTTACATGGCTCACAGTAACTCTTTTGGATGGGATCCACATGTACTTTATGAGGAAGAAAAAACCCCTTGCTCAGTCCTTTTAATGTGTTTTTATTTGCACTTATAAAGTGTTACTATTTCTTTTTTGGAACATATACTTGAAATGGATAGCTAGAAGCACAGATGGACCGCTATATTTATAAAAGTGATTTCTGATTCCACAGGGAAGAAGACAAGGAACCAAGACAAGAAACTCTAAGTTCTTTATTCATATCAATCACTGACTCATAGCCTGTATGTGATCAAACACAATTATATCGCCTTGGGGTGAACCTTTCAAAGACATGTAAGAGGATCTAGACAAACTCAAGACTGATAAAAGGAAAGTTTCTTTTCATGCTGAGCGCAGTCAGCCCATGGATCTCATTGCCACCAGATATCCCTCACCCCAAAAGCTTGCGAGACTTGATCATCACTGGATATTTGTACAGATAGCAAAATACAGGGAGCTATTATTGAAAATAATCAAGTTTAAACAGACGAGTGGTTTCTGGAAGGGCTGCAAACCTTCACAGGGCAAACGAACCTGTACTCCAAGAAGGTTAGGAGAATTTTTTGCCTGGAACAAGCTATCCCACCAATGCCTTGGTGATGGTGGGGTGTGCCTGAGCTTTCCTTTCCCCTGTAACGTGTAGCCAAGGCTGTTGCCTACTCCATATTCCCAGTCTTAGGTGATATCCCCACCGCTGCCTCTCTGCAGCCTGTCACTGAAATCCGTGTGCTCCTGGACCATTATCATCCTTTTCCACCTTTCTGTGGGCTGAGAGGTTTCCATCACCAGCAGGGCTTTCTTCATCTCACAGACAGACTCTTACTGCCTCTTCTTCATAGCACTTTCTAACTTACTGTCTTCTCCCTAACTTTGCCCAACATTAGTGTGTCTAGCTGGCATTGACGATTATACTGTCCAGTTTAATTTCTCTCTCCTAATTTGCTCAATAATGTCTGTGTTACTTTCATTTATTGTCAGCCCTATTGATCTTTTTCTAATCTAATTCTCATCACTGCATTCACTGTATTCCCTGGGTGACAGCTGAAAGTCCTTGAGGAGGAAACATTGACTTGGTTTTCCCTGCCGTGAACACTCTTCCTTGGAAATTATGACTGATGAAACTCCTTCCCAAACCCATCATTTCTCTGTAAGTAAAGTTTCACTGGCTAAAGTGCATGGACCCAGTTGATCATCTACTGAATATACTTGAGCTATATGCCCAACAGTGAATGTGGCCTGCTGGGAGGCTGAGTGGGGTGTCAGGCTGAAAAAACACATTTTCTGAAACCTTGCTGGCCTTCGGTACCTGAACTCTTGTACGACACAAATCATATTTGGGAGAAAATTCATTCCTGTCTGTTTTCATAGGTACTCCTTGTTCTCTTAACTCTGGTAAGTCATTCTGAGTATGACCTTAGCAGTGTGCTTGATCACATTTGCTTTATTATAAAATACTAAGGCCAGACTATGCCAAGCCTTTTTCCAGGTGCGCCAGGGTAATAGTAAAAGAGAGCAGAAGACCCTGCTGCTGCCTTGTGTCACCTCCACAAGAACCATTCAGAAATGCTGTCTCTACTCTGCTGGGGGCTGCTCACCCCACCCTCCTTTCCCAGCGAGCACTAAAGCACAGTAAGCAACAGCGTAAGCAAAGGACCCACCGCCCCAGCGGGAGCCGTAAGACGAAACATCTCCTAATGAGCTAAATTTTATAGAGATCCTGTGCCTTAATCCTGATTCATATGTACAAAGCTATGAAATGCCAGAGCTTAGCACCCACTGGGCCAAAAGCTTTGCTTACATTTCTCAGCGCAACTGGAACTCCAAATGCTGTATATCTAATGAACAGCTAAAGCAGAAAATATATATCCAAAGCCTATACTCTGTGAAAGCTTCTCTACTGGGAAAAAAGGTGGAATATAAATATCCTGCATCAAAGAAGGTTGCAAAATGTAGAGATTTGGAATAGAGAGAAAGGCATGTAGCCCAGCTGGGCCCTGGTCCTGACTTGAGTCTATTAGCTAGGGTAGAAATAAATATTAAATAAAAACCTGAAGAGTTTAACTTGATACTGCAGGAAAACAAAAGCATATAGAATAGGCTAAACGAAATGGGAAATAAAATGAAATTATTACAAGTCAAATGTTCAGTGTGTAACTTTTTTCCTGTTTGGACACTGCCTTCAAGCTGTCCTTGGAAAAAACAAATCAACTCCAGATCCAGGACATCTTTGTGTATGTGTCGAACTTCAAGCTCAAGTTATTCCTCTGACTTCAAGTGAAGCAGCACTGATCTTTTGCATCTAACACCTAATGGCTGCAAGGGATTTGAAATGCCACCAGGTTCTTGGCACCAGCTCCACCCACACGCTCTGGGCTGGAGCTCGGTGGTTGCTGCCTGCCCGGTGCACTGAGAGAGAAAAAATTTCTCTGCTCTGACCTTCAGCGGACCTTGAAGAGGTTTCTCTAATTTCGCTCGGCAAGGGAAGTTTGTGCACACTCACCCAAGCCCCGGAGAGGAGGAAACAGCAAAGCGCCTTCCAGAATTGTGCATTTAAACATGCAAAAATACACTAATTATGGATCCAATCACTTTCCGGAAATTCAAGCCTGCTCTCAGATCTCAGGGGCTAGCTCTCTGCCGTTTCCAGGGCTCAGCTGGATGCAAGCAGTCTAGTAACTAGATGGATTTTTTTAAAAAACATACAGACACACTTATGAGTAGCTATAAAAGCAGCAGAATTTGAATTTAGAGAGAGAGAAATTACAAGTGTCACAAAGATTAATAAAATAATTGCAGCAGAAGTATCATGGCTGTGGGGCTTTATATATTCGCTTCTCCCTTCAGTGCTGAAAGATGCAAATTGCAGCTGTTGCCCCCCTCCAGCATGATCACCCTCTCCCTGTTTTGACAGATTTCTCAAAAGACTCATCTCACAAGATGTCTGGCTTTTTTTGTTCCGCCTTTAGTAATTTTCCACTTCTCAAACACCTGCCCCTGCAGAGATGCTTGGGACTATCCCAATCTTTGGGCAACCTACTGTCCCAAGAATTACTTACAACCTGAGCACTGAAATGTAACGACTATCATCCCTGGTCAGGCGAGAGGTGACAGTTTCCCATATCGCTAAGGCTGGATTTCACCTACGTTGACAAAAAGGCATTCCTGGAGAAACACTAAAAAGATTTACACAGCATCAGCCATAATTTATAAGAGGCAAACCGAAACGTTCCCTGTATCACCATGGTATCTCTATTGCTATAATCCTGTCCTACCCTTAAGGGGCAGCATCTTCATTTTCACTTTGCTGGCTCTTTGAAAGCCCAAAGGCAGGAAGAGGCCATTGGTGATTCATCCCGGCTTCCCACCTTCTGCAGTTTTTTATCCTTGGTGCTACCCAGAGGCACAGTCCCTACGGTGCATTTGGGCTCTGCAGCAAACCTGCAGCAGATCGTGTTCACTTCCACAAAATTAACACAATCTTTAATTAATGCAATAAGCACTGATGAGTAATAAATCATATTAAAATACAAGGAAGGCAAATTTTTAATAAATTAAGCATTGATTCACTCAATAAATATTAATCTACTAAGCATCAAGAATTCATTACGTTTTAGAAAACCAGTTGAAAAGCCTCGCTGGTGAGCTGGTCTGAAGTGTGCAGAACGGTCCCTGTTCACCCATAATATACACTTATTTTTAACTAATTCCTTAATTCATCAAGTTAAACAACTTGCCTGGAAGTGAGTCTGGATTATTATTCCATTGCAATATGCAATTTTCTCGACACAGATTCTAACTCACCCCTCGGATCGTTTCTTAAATTTTTCTTAGTAGCTCCCTTCCCGAGTACCTCCTTTCTCTTCCTTGATGTTGGTGGTCTTTAAAATATTTGCTGACTGGTGTCATTTAATTTTCACCTCAATTAACTCAGCGAGAGTTGCAAAACTAGAAAAAAAATGGTAGGGGGGTGTAAATTAACTCATTCATTTAAGTTTAGCTTATCTACGAGATGTTCTTTCACACTTTGCTCTCTGCAGAGTTCCTCCAACCTTTTATATAGATGTGGGATGTGCTGCACTTGCTGTGACTCTTATCTACAGATTAGCAAAAGAGACGGAAAAAAAGCCAGATGCAAAGATGCCCCACGAGACTGATATGGAGCTGTTTCTGTAGCAACCGATGATTTTCTTCTCATGTAAGAATGAGCCTAGTCATATCTAATTCTGAATGTATCTGGGCCTCACTTGCCAGCCAAAGCTGTGTCAAGTATAAAGTCAATACAGTCAGAAAGAGTGATAAAAAAAGCAATTATAAAGTCATCTTCCTACTCCTACACTCCTCCTCCAGCCAGGATCCGAAAGATATCCTTACCCCTGCCTTCTGTCCCAGCACATCATCTCCAAGCCCCCAACATCCAGGAGAGCTGGTAAGCAGCGATGGAGGTGGCAGCCAGCCACCCAGGTATCGCACACACGAGACTGCGGTGCTGGAAGCTCCTTCGGCAGTCCCGGGCACCCACGTCCCAGGAGACGGCATGCTCTGGCAGGTCTAGAGAAATCTAGACTGCAAAGGCAGCTCTACCTGCCTTGCTCAGCGTCTCCATACAAAACTCCTAAGCCCAGAGCTGAGATTGACTTCAGCTTTCGAAAGCTCTTCTTGGCTTGTGCCATTTCACTGCCTTCACTCTGCGGGCAGTGTTTTCTGCAGCTATGAACCCAAAGGCAGGCTGCCCATCGCACTAACATCTCCTGCCATAGGCCACCCACACAAAGCCGGAATTGAGTCTCTGGGACCACAGGAGAACTTTGTCTTCCTAAATGTATTTTACCCAGCCTGGTCTGTGCTATTGATCTCTTCCATC